ACAACCATACAATGGTTTTTTTGTCATCATACATACGCACCGCAATTTGATAAGACGTGATGTAACGGCATTTCTTTGGAGAGATCTTTAGATGACTCTTCTAGTGCCTGTCCGATTTTGTAGTGGCTATTCTTTTTGATACGTTTATCACGGTCCTGTGTGTCAGTCGTCGAACTAACAGCCGGCAATTTTCGCACCATTTTCTCCAGTACATCTTTATACTTGTCTACTTGTTTTTCAATTATTTCCAGCTCGGAATCCTTGCAATCAGATTTATTTGATCTTTAATTTAATGAGTAGTTAGGTACATGAAAAGAGAAAAAAAGAAACGAAAAAGTTAAATCATTTAATTTGTTTTGCTCCATAACCTTAGTTCCACATCCTCTATGTTAAGAGTAGTGACTACAGAACATTACATATTCGCAAAATACCGACACAGCACCCCACTTTTGCACACAGACATTCTTTCCACCCTAAACAAACCAGCTGAAGGCTGGGTAGCCCCTAGTGCATCCACGGCTACAAGCTAATTCCGCTTTTTGTATCGGCATTTTATATATGTAAATATATTTCTATAGAGCACACTGCCACACCATTGTGTCTGGTTCGTGGGCTCATGACTATGAGATATCCAATCAACTTCCAACGTCGTCACCACTCACCTCCCCAAATTCTCAGCAGCAATTTTGATTTTCGTGAATTGTTTCTTCATTCTTGCAACACTTCACAATTATACCGCGCCTGACTATATTCTAGCAATCGAATAACTTTGTTTTGTTTTCTACACTTAAATGTTTAGATATTTTTCTTTAATTTTTGCAGTAAACATAAAAATTAGTCATCCTTTTCTTCTATCATCGACAAATGCGAACAATCAACTCAAGTCAGTGAAGCTTTGTTGGGTGTGTTCAATGATATATTTGACACTTGACACTTGATTCAATAGGGTGTGTTTCACAGCAGCAGATAGCTTTGTGTGTAAAGTTTATTTGGTATTTTGTAAATTTTGGTAGCGGACTGTTATCTCCCTACATGCAAATACCTCTTAAAACGATAACGAAACTGATAACACTGTAGTTTTTATAAAACTAAAGGGAGATGTTTCTAGTATTATATATTAGTTTGAGGCAGTACAAAAAAATGAAGGGACCGTGGCGCCTTCCACTTTCCAACTTAAAAGAATAAAGTCCAAATAATTTAATTAATAATTTAATTTCTCTTCCGACTTTTTGCTTATTTTCATCGAGTTTCACTTATTGTATTTTATAATAAATACCAATATAATCGCACTCTATCACCGCGCCTTTTTCGTCTTCTTTGTTTGTTTACATTCTTGGGCAGATGTCAAAAAAGCTCAGAAATTTACTTTTTTCATTCTTTTCCGCTTGCGTATAACCTCAGTCGACATTTCTTCTTTCTCTTGCCGCTTTATTATGCACTGATGTTGTAACAGCATATAAATTCACCACATACTTTTTGGGGAATGGTGCTCTGGTGATAGTCCTTGGCCAGATATAAACCATTCCTGTGACGTAGACTCGACTGATAGTGGCATTTTCCCTGTAACTCTCGGCGGATGGCCTGCGGCTTTCGGGCTCCGGCCCAGGAACATGCCCAGGACCACATCCCTCAATCTACAGAACTCTCTACTCTAATTATTACTCATATTTTCATGAGACTTCAGAGCGTGTCAGATTTGGTAATGCAATATATTTCGAAAAGACTGTCAAATTGAGAAATTAATAAAGGCAGCTGCATGAGCAGTGGCACCTACCATGTAAGGTGTCTTTCTAAAGAGGTTTTTTATTTCCAAAAGGCGGATTGCATGAAAAATTTCTCTAAACGCTATTTGTCAGTGTGAACAGAATGACTTTCGGGAAATTGCTTCCTTTATTTTCAATTCGAAGATTAATTTATTATATATACGGCAACACTCGATTAGTTTGACAGCAATTGCAGAAGAAACAAAAATTGCTTGTGCAGCACGAGCAAATTGAAATATAATTCCGAAACTGATTTTCGATCTTTCAGTTGCAGTCACAGATTTTATCTTTAATTTCTAAAAATTATTTCCGAAAGGTGGAAATAAAATTTCTCTTTATTAACTTGACGGCGAATCGCGTGGAGAAGTTGGAAATGTTTCCCTCTCTGACATACTCTTTCCTTGCGGCTTGTAGGAGCCCGAAGAGGAAAATATCAATTTTTTTGTGGAAGGTGCCGGTCATTTTCTCCATATAAAATAATGTTCGATAATCTTTTTTGTAAGGAAAAAATATGAGACAGCTTCCACAAAAAAAATGCCAAAAATCAAAGGTAAGTCCTGGCGTCCTCATACTTGCACTTTATTACAATAAAATTGAATGGGCTATAACACTGCATACTCAGCTTTTGTCTAGAGGGCGTAAATAAAAAGTGCAATATTTGAATAAAATTTTGTGGAATTTTCTTTAATTTTGCAAACGGTTTGGAACCTTGATTTTAGGGTTTTTGTTGGAGAATTAACCATATTTTTATAAAAAATTTGCGAAAAAATAATTATTTTAAAAATAGCTGCTGTATTGTAAAAAATTCGCTGTACCTAAACTTTATTGACTGTCTGTATGTATTAAGAGAAATTTTCTACTCTTCTAAATTTTCTTCAGTGTAGACATGTATTGTAGTTTTACTGAACGTACGGCTGCCAAATTTGACAATTCAATCTGCTGTTTTTTACCGATGTTTTCGTTTGGTACGCACGTGTGGAATAGAAACTTTTTGGAAAATTTGTTCAAGTTTAAATAAAGTAATGGCAATAAATTATCTATAATGACTGTACAACTAGATAAACGCGGCTTGATGTCGCTAATGCGCACAGAGAATGAACGCATCATGGATATGTTGCTGACCGTACAACGTACCAGATTCAATAGAAGGCGAGTTACTAATGATCGTTGCAAAGGAAACAAAACAAAATCATCTATCAGCAAATGCATGTCCCCAAACATTATTAATTTCAGATGTTCAATATGATGAATATCTGCTCAATAATGACAAATCTGCTGCAAAGGCCAAGCATGCATTGGGTGCCCGCAAAGCAACACCCATCGATGAGCTCCAGGATCGTCTCAACATAATCAAAAACAAAATGAAAGCTAAAAAACGTCCAGCGTCAGAACGTTCAATAAAGAAGCGTGAAGCTAAGAAACTGAGAAAAAATAAGGAAGTTAAGAAAATATTAGTTTCTGCAGCGAAATCTATCAAAAATGAACAACAGAAACTATCTAATACGGGCAATGATGAAAATGCGGATAAAAAGGATATAAAGAAATTAATCCCAAAACCTGTCTTCAATGAAGAAGGCAAAATTGTTTTTTCCAAATTTGACTTCGCGTCACATCCAGGTGCTAAGGTGAAAAAGTCACATCAGAACCCACGAGAGATTTTGAAGAAAATTAAGCAGACAGATAAGAAAATCAATGAGTTAAAAGAAAAGGGCGAGGTCGAAAAGGCGGCAGAGATCAAAAGCGAAATAGCCTGGAAAAAAGCATTTGATAAGATTGAGGGCAAAAAAGTAAAAGACGATCCCAAATTGCTGTACAAAGCCATTAAAAAGCGGAAGACCGAGAAGAAGAAGTCCAAGAAGGAGTGGGTGGAGCGCAAGCAGAAGGTCGAGTCCGGCATAGAGCATAGGCAGAAGAAGCGACAAGAAAATATAAACAAGCGCATTAATGATAAGAAGTCAAAGAAACTGAAGAAGTTATCCAAAAAAGGGCGGGTAATACCTGGTTTTTAATAGTTCTTATTAATGTAATAAAAAAAATTTTAAGAACAAGCAATCTGACTTAAAATGTATTCAACCTTCATCTGACTGTTCATTAAACTTCCATTCAAACAAAATATTTTTGGTACGTTTTCCGTTATGAAATTCAGTCGAAAAATTTCAAAAATTCGTTGTGTGTAAGCTGTGTTCAACGCTTTCGTCAAAAAATAAACATAGTGCCCATTAAAAACCGACAAAGGGGAGATAGGTCATTTCTAGATAATTTGGGTACGCTGAAGTCAATGGTATTAACCGTTTTGCCGAATTGGCTCATGACCCCATATACAATTTTCAAATCAAAACTTTACCTAAAGAGCAGTACAGGGTTTTTCTTAATAAATTATTCTCTGAAATTCCGAACACATCGTTGAATTTTCAACGAAAACTAGAGGATCTGTTAAAAAACATACATTGTAAACTATGTCGATCCCATTTCTGGAATTTTGTTTTTTTAATTTCTAACACTGCAAACCTACTCGCCTTGGAGGCAAAATTTGCTAAGTCTAGTTTCCCAAAATCAATACATAGTACTTTATTTTATATTGTAAGATATGTGCAAATATGTACGTATATAAGTACAATTTATGTTAATTATACTACATTAACAATTGACGACATAGCGATTTTGATTAGTTGGTTTGGGACAATTATACGCTGGCACGAATCGGTTATGACAAGTAGCACGAATCGGTTTGGTACCATGTTGGGTATGGTTTGTGGAATCGGTTCTCTATTCTGAAAAAAAGCAACCCTGGCTAAAATATAAGAAGAAGAACAAAGAAAATAGCAAAGAAGAATAGTGGGCGATAGCGCAATTAATATGGCGCTAGCTCAATAAGTCGGCAGCACCTGTGGTATCAGCGCTTTAACTTAGCGCAATAGCGCAGTGTACTGATTTGAACACGACGTCACCTAAGTGTCACCACAGTACCCACCGACAAGTGTTATACACAACACAGTGGTGTCATGCCTAATATTTCTTTAATTTTTTGCTGTGCAACGCTTGTACCACCAACCGAATTTAACTGCTAGGAATGTAGGAAATGCCACGATATTCTCATCTTTCTTGAGTAAAGCTTTAAATTTGCCAATATACATAAGTTTCTGGCATTCTCACCACACAAAAGCAAAAACAAAGAAGTAAGGCGAATTGTGTGTTGGTCTCATGTATTTCTTGGCGTTAATGGCGCTAGCGCTATTCATATCTTGGAATTAGCGCGGCAACTCCAGGAACGGTGGCGCAGCGCAATGTTACCCATGTCTAGTTGTAAATATATTTTGACAAAGTGTTTCTCGTTCGCCAAAACTCATAACGAATTACGTCTTATAAAGAAAAATTTTCCAAATTTAAAAGGCTTATAAAAAGTTAGTAATATACGCGTTTAATATCGCCAAAAAGTGCAAACAGTGATCGCGATCGGGCAAAGAAGCGCCTAGTGCCGAGTAAACGGCAACGAGGACGACCAACGGAGCACAGCAGTGTAGCAAAAACGTGACCACTTCATAGCCACAGTATAAGGCTTCCATTAAAATTAATTTGCGTCCAATAAATTCACCTAGCTGTATAAGATATCAAGCAGAAAATTACAAGATTGTTATAGCGAAATTAGAACAGCAATTGTTATAGAATCATAAAAAAGTGAAGGGCAAAAATTCAGTGGAATTATGAGTGTTGTACGCCACTTTGTGCTGCTGTCACAGCTGCCTAGATTTGGACAAAATTATTATTGGCTTAGAGGTGAGTCGAAAGTCCATCAAATGTTATTAGATATAAGTGAAAGATAATAAAATTACAAGTCACGTTATGGACGAAAAGGATAACGAAGGCTAGATGGTACTCTACAACTTGTTTTCTTTTTGTGTAATCATACAAATCTCCCAGATTGGCTAACCGATCGCAAGCGCTGACGTTGTACCCATGTATGCGATATACATACATACACGATCGTTTTATTATACAAATATAGAGTGTGGTGTTATTAAGTTTTGGTTTTGTTTTTTCGTTGTTTGCTGTTCTTTTTTAATATACATATTCCACTGAGTTGTTTTTTGTGCCATGCACATATACACCCAAGTGAGAAATGTCGTACTGCGCCAGCAAGAACAGCAAAATTTATCGTACAAATGAGTCTCCCACGCTGGGATTTAGTCCACGAACTCCAGTTAATTACAGATCCATTTATGAATGTACGGTATGCGGAGAGACACCCCACGACTCGAAACATCCCTTCACATGCCCACAAAATCCCACACAAGTAACGCCTTTTTCCCTGTGAACAGACCCTATGGAGGCTGCACGCTTCTTGGGTCTTCCGTTAGTTAAGCTTGACGACAACGACTGAGATACCACCGATCTGGGCGGGGTAGTTGTAACCGCCACAACAACAACAAAAATATTCATTTATGTATATTTACTGAATAACAAACAATTCTCTTAGAAGGCAAGTGGTTTCTCTCTGTGCCAACTGATGCCAATTGGAAATGCCAACTGAAGCAAAGTGTTTCACCACCTGGTCTTTCCAACGCAGAGGAGGCCTTCCTCTTCCTCTGTTACCAGCATCACGACCAGCGTTGAATACTTTCAGAGTTGGAGCGTTGTTGTCCATTCGAACGACATGACCTAGCCAGTGGAGCCGCTGGATTTTAATTCGCTGCACTATGTCTATATCGTTGTAAGGCTCACACAGGTCATCGCTAAATCGTTAGCAATATTTATTTATTTATTTATTCATTTATTGACAGCCTTTAAAGGCCTATAACAAGTCTGAAAATTTACAATATTTGCTTACTATTTTATTTGCTACAATTTTGGGTTTATAGTTTTTATATTGATATATGCATACATTACATCACAGGATCCACAATCATACATGAAAACAATTATCTTATTTCACTACATATTCTGTTCTTTACACATTTTTTTGAGAGGACTGTCCTAACTTTTATCCTGTACTAATATATATACATTTAAACAAGGTAATTGTATTAATTATATTATATTAAATTATATTAATTATAAATGTGACAGTGGCTGTCGGAATGTACGGGATCCCGAGCAGCCCGAATGTTGGGTACTGGTTAGGTGGGCGGCCCGAAAGGACGAGTTCCAGAGCCGCACTTCCTGTACCATTGCTGTACTCTTTATTCCAAGTCGCACCTACACTTCAGGCTTTGTGGTCATATGTAAAGGCTATAAAGTAATTTGTGATCAGTCGGAAAGTACTAGTTTAAGAGCCAATCTATCTTTAGATATTCCTGTTATACAAGTGGTCTGAAAGGATCTAGATCTTGAGCCGCACTGTAGGGCGAATGGAAAGGACTAGTTTCCATGCCGACCCTCTCCACTGTTCTTTACGCGCTGTAGGCCGGATGGAAAGGACTAGTTTCCATGCCGACCCTCCTCTGTTCTCTACTGGATCAAGCAGCAATCCTTTAAAATAAAATTTTTTATCATTTCTTTCTATACATATATTTTGCAATGGTGGTACATATATGCCATCGCCAGCGCGCAATGCCCGTAAATCTTGCGTAGACTCTTCTCGAAAAAAAGTATTTAGACGCTTTGTCTTTACTAAAGACTGGAAACAAAAGTACTTAGTACTTATGGCTTCACAAAATACTGGATACAAAACTTCTTAGTACTTATGACTTGATTAAATACTAAATACTTGCTATTTACTCAGTGTGAAATTAGAGATTTTCGAGACTAGTTCAGAATTTTCTAGACTGTTTTGAGATGTCTAGGATTACTATTACTACTTATGTTTATACGTAAGCTATTTGCGAATAAAAGTAATTTGCAAACACCTAACTCACTGTAGTTAAAAATGGCAACGTCTTGGCGTCTTGCGCTCATTTGCAAATAGTACCACCAATCATTACTTATTTGCGTGATTTAGTTATTTGACAACAAAAAATTAACTCGGCGTTTATACGGCAAAGTTTACCATTTTTCAAATAATACGTGCGTATAAACCTAGTATTTATCAAGATTTTGGAGACTGTTTCGGTATTTTCGGGGCTACTTCGGCATTCTGGGGATCTTCGAGACTACTTCGAGATTTTCGAAACTATTTCAGTATTTTCGGGTTTCTAGAGACTGCTTCGGGTTTTGCGAAACTAAATATATCTATATCTTATCAATAAAAAATCGATTCTCATATCGATAAATATATAAATTAAAAAGTCGATAAATCTATTCATATCAAAATCGATAATTACAACGAAAATTTCGAAATATTCCCGAAAATCCCGGTGGTGCCGAAATAGACTTGAAAGTTCCAATTTATTCCCGATAATCTCCATAATAATCCGAAATAGTTCGCAGTTTGAGGTGTTAGTGAGTTTAGGTGAGAATGAAGAAAAATGGTAAAAATTTTGTATTATTATTGGGAGACTCCGGTCGAAAAATATTGATCTTCAAGAATTCTATACCATTTTTACGAAAGGTTTTTTTTTCCATATCAAATACATGGAAACCCTTGAGCGCTTTGAGCGGCCTCTAAATATTTTTTCATTTAAAAATAAAAATAAATATAGAACAAGCCTAGAGGGTGACAGCATAAAAATTCCGACTTTATTTTTTCACGTGCATTTTTCGACCACCCTAATGTACATACATATAATCTGTATGTACAACATATAACCTGGCGTTTGAAAGTGAGTTCATAATGATTTTTGACAAATATGTATTTGCAATGTTTTTCAAGTAAATTTTTTTTTGCTGTCTTCTATGTATCTACGTATATAAATAAGCATGATCAATATATCTCTTAAACCAACTACGCTTGCGAACTGATACTTGGCACGGATGCATACATTTTAAATACCCTACTTAAGGCGAAAACTGGGAGCTATTGGAAAAGGGGCCGTGGCACCTCCCATACAAAGTGAACATCTCCTATCGCTTATCTCTGGAACCGCTTAAGCCAACGTACTGAAATTTGACACAGCTATGTATATATCGTCGTTTAAAGTACAAAGCCGCGTATTGTCATTCTGCAAAACCGCGTAACTGGCATTTGCTGCCAAAAATTGGGTTTGCTCACACAAGCTCTTGCCTCAATCCTTATCCATTCGTCCTGAAATATACTAGCCAGAAATGCGATTGCATTATAAAAAAGAGAAACGTTTTGAAATTTAAGTGTTTTTACTCTCTAGAAAATTATTTATGCAACCTCACATACGCGGTTTTGCATTTTGTTGATACGCGGTTTTGTACTTTAAACGACGACATGTATTTAATACTGTGCTGAGATTCCACAGTTGTAACTAAGAACATCGGTAAAGCTCATGACATCGAATGCGATTAGAATTCCATATGGCATCATAGCTACGGTGACCACAAATATATTTTGAAAATGCAGGACAAAATTTTTACATGGAAGAAAATGCGCAGCACCGTCAACAAAACAAAATTGCCGCCCCTGTTTTTTTTCAAAAATTTTTAAAATCGGATTTAGACGTAGAATATGCTATATTTTTATAAAAAATTAATGAATATTAAACAAACAAAAGGAAAACCATAACTAGTAACTATTAAAAGGGTGCGCTTTCAAATAACAACGAGTGTATATTTCTTAATTATTAATGCAATTTCAAACTTTAAACATAAATCACATTTGCTTCATTGGTATTAATCTTTTAGTAATGAATATTTACAAAATTATAATAAGGCATATTACATTTTACTTTAACCGAAATATGAACCTCTGTAAAGCAGATTTTTTAGGCAAACTTTGGGTCATTGAACACGAAACTAATACCCATGGTTTCAAAGAAGTGTTTTCGAGATTTGTTCGAAAAACGTATTTTTAGTACTTTTTCAGTTAATCGTCAATATCACATGAACGACCTAAAGTTCGAAAGGTATTGATGGGCCCTTTGCAAAAGTATATAATTTGTGCAGATAGTGTTTCGTAACATCTACATTTCTCATCAGATTTTCATTTACTGTAAAAAGAAAATGATTGAAATTTTACTTTTTTCGATTTTGGTCGCTTGTAACACTAATAATTTTCTATAGGGTAGTTTAAGGAGCTTTTCGGCTAATTTTCATCAACATCGGCAAAGTAATATATTTTTGTAAGAGGACTGTAGGTCGCTTATGTTGATTGAATAATTTTTAGCATTTTAATTTTTTGTACCAAAAACACGTTTTTCGAAGAAATTACGAAAAGGCTTGTTTGAAAAAAAAATTGGCTTGGAAAACATTTTTTTTCTTAAGCGATTACCACAAAATTTGTAGGACAGTGTTATTGATATATTTGACGCTGGTCTTCATTTTTTCGTCATCCATTGTCCATAACCGTACAAAATTTAGAACGCATTGACTGGTTGAACCTTCAAAACCAGCTGCTTTTATTTCGATTAGGAAAAGTTAATTTTAAAATATCGAAGAAAATGCGGGACAAAGGCAGGACACTTGGGAAAAAGCAGTACATTTTGGGGGTTTTCTGTTTTGAAAAACTGCACAGGACAGACTTTTAAATAACAGTACGGTCCTGCAACAGAACGGATGGTCACCGAAATCATAGCGCTACTATTCTTGGACCATGTGGCAAGAGGATTCTGCTCTTTAGTCGTTTCAACTTTTTTTTCCTTTTCAGACCGTTTTTGCCTTTAAATGCTATTTTGAATTTTTGTAATTTTTGTACAAAGTGTGAAATGTGGATTTTTGGTCGTGCTTGTATCATCAAAAAAAAAACAAAAGAAAAATAGCTAAAACTGGTCAAAATGCCACTAACTTAAATTAGTTGACCACAAGTGCAAGCAATATATCGGTAAAACTAAGATTTGAAAGGCTTGAAATTTCGAACATTCAGACTTAAACAAAGAGCAGTCATTCACTTTTTGGTTTTTGGCTACAATCAGGACTAAAAACTTAAAGTGAATATGGTGAAATTCAAAAAATGAGCAAAGCAAAACATAGCAGCAAACAAAAAATTTTTATTTTCATTTGAAATTTTGCTTTAAACTGTACACCCACGTTTTTGGCTTTCGCTTATCTTTGCGTTTTACAGCTGCTTTTTTGTTTTACATTTTATTGTTCTTAACTTTTTGTTTCTCCAGTATTTTCTTTACGCGCGGTGATTTTCCACAAATTGATGTTGATACATATTTAAAAAAAAAAATTTTTTTTTACGATTTTTTGCTTTGGATCACACTTAAGCACATTTCCAATGCCTTTTTAAAGAATCGATTTGCTCGAAAAATATACTTTGTGGGCACCTCGTCCGCGACCGCTGTGAAGGCCATTGTTCAGTTGTTTTTTTTTTTTGTTTTTTGTTTTAATTTTTACTACAACAACTCTTTTATTGCTGGCGTTCCTATGTAATCAAAGCAAATAAATTTACTTCCTCTTTTTGCACTTCTTCTTTCTTATATGTACATACAGTGACGAACAAAAGTATTGGCACAGTGAATTTTTCGCAATGTGTGCAAAGTTTTTAATTTTTTTTTCGATAATTTTTTGTAAAAATTTAGTTCATTCAACACCAAAAAAAACATAAAAATAAAATCTCTAAAATTTTAGGCAATCTCAGGAAA